TCGATCCCCTTGTCCAGATCATTGGTAAAGACTTCCTGGGAAAGCTCAGACAGTACAATGATGAGATCTCTATGTATAGCTAGACAAAGGGAAAAAGTGGGTTCCTCAGCAGGAGGTGAAGCAGAACAGGTCTTTATGAACATGTGGTTTAGGGTAAAGGCAAAAAAAAATGAGAGGAAGGGAATAAAACCTCTTTTCCTTCTGGACTTGTACCATGCCTGGGCCTGAAGGATCTCCCATGATATAGATGGTAATTCAAAGCAACTGCCAAGGACCCTGGCAAAGGAGGATGAAAAGAGCCCAGAGGATCTGGGGATGCGGAGAAAAGGGTTGAAAAGCCACAGGCTGCTGCAGAGTGTGAGAAGGTAAAGCTGTGCCGAGCATCTGCGCGCCCAGAGAAGACCGCTCGACACTCCCTATCACGGGGCTTGGCCTCCGCTTGTCTCTTTGCCAGGCATCTAAACGTGCGGCTTGAAAACGGGCCGCTTTGTTTGCGTCAGGCTGAAATTCTGGGAAAGCACCAGCCAGAACTGTTCAGCTGCTTCTCAGGACAAGACCAGGAGGCCAAAGGCACATCCTAGCAAGGCACGCTTCCCGAAGCGGCTCACATGTCCCCATGCTTCAGAGCAGGGACCTGGAGCGACAGGGCGGTGACAAGGACACGCATTTTGCTGCGCCACAAGAAGCCTCCCATTTGGTTGACAGAGAAAGCTGTGAAAAATATCACTTTATACATTCGCAGAAAAGACACTTAAGAACTTTGCTGCCAACGCCATCGAAGCTTGCCCGCGCTACGTGTGCTCCTTCTCGTCTCCGCTTCAAGGCTGACCAAACACGCTACCTTGCGGAGCGAAGCGACACCGTACAGGTGATGTGCCCCGCTTAGCCAGCCCACAGCTGCTTTTACAGCCTGCTGCTCGCATACCACAGCTGCTTCTGCGCGTGTGCTATCCATCTGCCTCAGCTGCCGGCCAGCTCCCACGCCGACCCGTGATGCAAGGCTGGCAGAGACCACAGCGAGGGCAGGATCTCACCCCGGATAATCCCCAGCAAGCGCCAAAAGCCCGAGCCCGCCTCTCTCTCCCCCTCTGCGCAGCACTCGACGAAGCTCTGTGCTTCTAACTCACATGTACTGGGGACCTCCATGCTCTCCTCTTCTTCAGAGCCCTCGTGGCTTTCAGCCAGAGTCTCTTCGTATTTACTCCACGAGCTGTCATCGGGACCAGGAAAGGAAAACTCTGCGCACAGAAGGTAGAACAACAGGAGTTTACGCTCACGCCTCCCAGCTGCCGTACAGAGGATTTCGGGAGAGGTGGTGACATCAGGTAAGAGCCGACAGGAAAGCAGAGTCACCCCTGTACCCAAGGACAGAGCTGGCAAAACTCAACAGCAGAGGCAAGCGGGAGAGCGCAGGCGGGCAGTGGCAGCCACATTTCTGCCTTCCACCTCCCCACCCATAGGAACCTCATGGCTCACCAGTGCTGGGGTCTGTAGGGGTTTCTCCTCCCTCAGAGTCATCCTGATCCTCCGCGTTGGGATCCTCTCCTTGCTCGATCCGCGACAGGAGGTCAGGCTTCGAAATGGCAGCATCTGCACGTAAGAAGAGGGTCAGAACATTTCCTTTGCCCTCGCAGGAGGCTCTCCAACCTTCGCCCACCAACCTTCCTTCGCTGCTGGGGATGACGGGTAATGGAAAGAGAGGCTTAAGAAGATGCTCTCACACATCTGCACCGCTCACCTTGTCTGGGCCCTGGGAACATGAGCGGACTGCAGGAGCACACTCTGCTCAGGTGAGGAGCACCTCCCAGCCTGCAGCGTGAGGAGGAGAATAAGAAAATGCATCTGTGCTTACCTCCGGGCTTCCTTTCTTCTCCTCTCTGCTAAGGTCCGCGGATCCATTACAATGGGGACTTCAGCTCAGGGGCAGCGCCAGAGCTGTCAGCCAGCGGCAGCAGGGGAAGTGCCCTCCCCATGCGGTTCCCTCCAGCCCAGGATTGCCGCAGCCAGGACCGCTCCATCCTACTCGTCCGAGTCACAGGCTGCTTGCAGATTTTGGTGGGGGAGAGGGGACAATCACAATCTCTCCTACGGCGGAGAGCGGAAAACTTCATTTCCAAACAAGTGTGAGCTCTGGGTATTCATTTCCACCGCTGCTCTGGTGGATCCGTCTGCCTTATGCGAGGGCCAAACCCCTAAACCTCATTACTCAAAGGAAACCTTCAGATGAAGCACAGATACATTTTTCTAAGCTCCAGGCTCAGATCCACAGATCCCCTTCAGTGGGACTGTTACGTTCCAGCACCTCTAGAGCAGGACACAGGATTGGGTTTTAAAACAGGAGAATGGGGGGGCAGTGTTATCCTTCACCTTTTTCCCTTGCACACAGGGACTGCAGAAGACCTCTGTTCAAAAAAATAAAGGAAGGAAAAAAAAAAAAAAAAAAAGGATGAAAGGCCTAGATCGCCCAGAGTTGTACGGCAGGGTGGCGGGTGAGCCTGCACACCGGCGGTCTGAGCACAGGGAGGAGATACTTGTTTACCAGGGACCGCGTCTGCGCTCCCACCCACTGCACGCAGACATCCAGCCAAGGCAAGGTCATTTCTCAGAACACACGTAGGTGCTCGCGAAGGCAACGCGCTGCCCAGAGGGAATTCCCACAGCCGGGACTGGAAGGAGCGAGCAAAGCACGTTCATTTAGCTGCCAACGCACCGCCCTGAGCCGCTGGAGGGGAAAGCGGAAGGCAGAGCTTGCCTTCACCCGCTGCTTCTCCCCAGGCTCTAACCCTGGCAATACAGGAGCAGACACCGCAACAGCTCGCGCCAAGAAACGTTCCCTGTGACGAGGCTGGGGTCAGAGCGAGCACCAAGGCAGCAGGCAGCTGAGAGACTCGCTCTCCTCCCTTAGGAAGGGCTCTGCAGCTGAAGGACAGCAAGGGCTGGAAGGAAGCTCTGAGGCAGGGCACCCCTCTGCTACCGGTAACTGCCCTAAGCAGTGAGCGGGCTGATGCACCCAGCGCAGTGGATCTGTGGACCTTTGCGTCACAAAGAAACTCCCCTCTTCCTCATCTTTACTCAGCCTGAGGGTCCTCTCGCTTCCCCTCCTCCTCACGACCCAGGCACTCGCTTGGCTCCTGCCGGCCGCAGAGACCGTCAGGGGGACAGGGTCACTGCAGCGCTGCTCGTGACGTCCATCCACCGTCAAACTGAACCGGGGAGGACTGAACTAACGGCCAGGGCTGCTGGTGAAAGCCGGCATCACGCGTTCCCAGACCAGCACACCCTCCGCCCTCCCCGGTCCTGCCGGGCACAGCGGTGATTCCCTCCGCCAGGCCCCGGGAAAACCTGCTGCATGGGACGGCTCAGGGCAAACCCCAGCTTGTCTTTACCCATCGAGATGACGGCCTCGTAGTTGCCTTTCATGATATGCCTGTAAAGCTCCTTCTGCCACTCGTTCAAGCTCTTCCACTCCTCCTCAGAGAAGTTAAACGAAGCATCGTTGAAGGCCACGGGGACCTGCAATTAGAAGCATCGTACGCTCGGTTTTTCTGCCTCTCGAAGAAAATACCCGACGACATTTTCTCATTCAAACTCCTCAAGCGCCGCACAGGACAGTTCTGCGCAGCAACGCCCGCTCCTTCCCCCGTGCCTGGCTCAAGCAGCTTCACCCCTGCCCACAAGGGACACGATGGGGTTTTCCCTCATCACCCGCCCGCACCTCGCCCCCACTCAGCTTCCTCACGCTGCGGGCGCCGTCTCACGCACAGCGCCCGACACGGACTCTTTTCCCACTTCATTTTTGAACGCGGTTTCTGCTGCGATTGCCTCTGAAGAGGAACCGGGGACACGTTACCAAACCCGC